CAGGGAAATTAAACCGGAGGGAAAAACGAGATACCAAATAAATAGTGAGATCAGACAAAAAGAAAGGGCTGTTGAAAGTTTAAGTCATGAATATTCTAGTCATAAACTATCATCCGACGACATAAAAATGTGTTTATATAGCATTGGTGATAACAACTCTTATTTGAGGACAAATCGGTAACTATTTTTACAAAAAATATGTGAGTCTTTACATGAAAAAAAAAAACTAACCAACCAAAATTTTTCACAGTGATTGCTGTGACCGTATGCTCAAACATTTGATAGATCACTTTCATCCAAGAGAGGTCAGAGATGGTTATTCCTTGGCTATTTCTTCTGGACGCAACGGCGCACGTCTCACACACAATCATGAAATGCAATATTGTTATGCGTGAGTAAAATCACATACATGCTTATATATATATATATTTGAATGATTTACTAAATCTACTTTTCATGGTTATCATTATTACTTGAATGTAGTAACCAAACATTATCACTCTGGAGCGAGATCCAAAATGAAATGTTTATGCTTTGGTTTTTAGCTGACCGTGATATGCTATTAGAAACTAATACCTATAGATTACGAGACACCGGTCAAGGCTTGAACAGAGTTCAAGATTGTCCATCTGTTTCGAAAGCTATGCGCACAATTCTACATCGTGCTCAACAAAAAGCAGGTTATTGGGTTGGAAGTTCAGTTATTCATCTAGGAGATAAAAACGTACCAAATGCACTCATGTTTATTGATAAGGTTTGTGAAAGAATAGAGTGTTATAATATTTTGTTATGTATTACAATATATTAAGCTAAATTTGGGTTCCATATTAGTACAATCAAGTTTCGCGCATATTAAATCCAATATTGATATGTCTCGATAATATCAGACCTTTGGTTGAAAAAAATTCTGGTATCCGATCCTATATTAAGGATTCTTTTGGAGGTGTTGAGGAACTCACTAAAAAAATTCTTGCAGACTTTTTCCGATATGCTTTTGATGGTAGTGGGGCTGACAATTTCTTTGATGCTGGAAGTTGTATTGATGGACGTTTAACAAGTGCCTGGAACTGGTGTTCGTTAATCGAAAAGAAGATATATTTCCCAGTGTTTTTATTAACGGTATGTGTGACTTCCTTTATTAATAATGTAGTTGTAGGCGTTTATCTATTATTCATTATATACTTTCTTATACAAATAGGGATTCGTCGGATTTGATGGGGAAAATTTCTAATACTATATAGTAACGGCCATAAATAATTCAAAAACAAAATTGGTGGATTGTATTATTTGCATTACTTTTGACAAAAGATTAGATGGCGTTTATCGTGCTATATAAAGTGTAAATTTTATCGCTACCTTTGCATTTTGTATTATGTTAAAACATTGATAATAGGTTTAAAAAAAGTAAAAATTTTACTTTTTTTTTGCAAAAATATATAATATGTATAAATAGTAGAACTTGTTTGTTTGGTTTGGTTTAGTTAAATTTAAATTACAGTATAAATTTAATTAAATTTAAATTGAAATTTAAATAAACTTGAATTGTTTGTTTAAAGTTTATAAGCCTATTTTGATTTGTAGGTTTTTTTAAACAAATTTGTTTATAAAATTATAAATACAGTATATTTATAATTTATTTTGTTTAAATTTTAAATTTTTTAATTTTTTAATATTTGAAAATAATAATTTTTATTTAAAGTGGTTTATTAGTAATATTAAAAACAAAATTGTAATATAAAATACAGTAAAACCTCTCTAAGTATATATTCTATGAGGGTGTGGTAATTTAGTAAAGTTAATAAGTTGTTATATTTTCAAGCAGCAAGACTAGAGTTTAATCCCACTAGTAATAAAATTTAAATTTTTAGAATATATTTAGAAGACTGTATCCTATTGAGTCAGTATTTGTTTTTTTTTTTATATATATTAAGGTGAGATCATGTCTCTGGTTTTTATTAACATATAGGGGTAAGTCAGTAGAAAAAGACCAAATTTTTTCTAAGTAAAAGTTTTTTTGATTTTAAGTTTAAATATTTTAACAACTATCTTATTAAATTTAATAATTTTTTTTTTATTTTAATTTATATAATTTCAAAATTAAAATAAAAAAAATTTTAGCAAAT